AGAGGAACCGTCAGGACGCGGCGGCGCCCTCACGCCCGCAGCGAACCGTCTCGTCGCCGCCATTACGCGTCTCTTCTCGTCTCTTTCTGGCAGCGCGACGCCCTCGGGTCGTCGCGGAAGCCCGCTCATGGCCGCAGCGCCGGCCCGTTCTCGTGCGACGCAAGGCTTCGTCGCAGCCCTGCGGCGGCGCCTCGGCGGGCGTGGCTCGCATGCACCGCCGTGCACCCGAAGGACCTGGCCCGACGTCTGTACCTGTACCTGGTCGAACACGGGCCGCGAGTGTACCTGCGCTCACAAGTGGACTGTGACCTGATATAAAAGTACCCTTGGCAATAAGCTTGTTACCATTGCCTGGCTCTCGTAGACTGATCTTCCACGCAGAGAATTTTTCATTTTCCCTTTTGCTTGGTGCACAAGTGAAAAAACACGAAAAAGAAAACGGATAATTAAGTGCTTTATTTTGCTCCTTGTCTCGCGTTTCCACAAGATGAGGCTCCAAGGATCACCTCTGAGTTCCCTTAAGATTGTGATTTCGAAATTACTCTGTGATTTACATGTGGCATCGATTTGTGCGCAAGTTTGAACCACTGAAAAAAAAAAGTTTAAAAAGTGAATAACCCCCCTTTTGGAAACCAAAAGATAAATTAAGAAAGGGAAGGAAGAGAGAGATACAAGAAAAACATAGCATTAAAAACACAAAACCGTAGTGAATCGTAGTGATAGAAGTAGCCAGACTTTATCTAAGAATCCGAAGAGCAGAAACAACATCAGAAGGAAATTCACTTCAAAAAATCGACTTCAAGAAATTACAACGTCTTGCCAAGGAAGCGAAGGCAACATGAAAGTGTTATTTGATAATATGCTTCTTGTTTGTTTTCTCTCGAAGCTGCATGTGACTGCTGTTATATTTTGTGAAGTGAAAGTAGTTTGATTGAATAAGTTAATTTGCATATTATGCACCACTATAGAATCCTAAAGAGCAATTTTTTTTCTCTTTAGGACAGGATATACAAGAAATTAATATATTCTGCAATACATTAGGATAATCCACGAAATCTATCCACGGATTTTTGGATGTTAGGATTTCATGAAAAGGGTCACATGATATTAAACAAAAAATGCAGTTGATACCAACGCGATATCCAATGTTTTAATGACAAGCAGGAAAATGTACAGGCCTGACACCACTACGATTAATATTACACAACATTTTTTTGTTCCATATCTGCCAAAGATATACTCTGCCAATGGAATATGCCAAGAGTATTATTCGAAACACAGTTGTTTGTATACACGCTTAGAAAAAGGAAGTCAAAGCACTCGTGACCTCGATTCTGCCGTAGCCAAGATCCGTTTTCTGTTGCTGGTAGAGGATCATCTTTTGAACGGTGACTCAACGATTTCTCTTTCATTTTGATTATATCAAACTGTTGTTACTCAGATGTGATTTTTTTTAGAATATGATTTCGCTCCCCCCCAAAAAAACACTTTTTTGATAGCGAAGATTTGTGATAAGCTTTTGACAAGCTCATACCGTGTCATCTGACATTTTAATCACATGATTTCACTAGAACCACTGATTGTTACATAGAATGCTGTCTTTTCTGATTTACGCTTTGTGATTTTTTGAAAGACAGACCTGCAAATCAAAATATAGTTCTGGATAGGCCTATGGCTTAGGCAGAGTCCAGGGAATCACTCTCATTCTTGTTGTTATTGATGGCATTGCTTGGGAAGACTCCGATTGCTGGGATATATTCTCCTCTGCCAGAGTTTCCACACGTGTCAGTCACGTGTCATCCATGCGACTGAGACTGACTTTGCTTTCATGTTAACTTTTGTATAAATACCTCATCTTAGACACTGTTGTTAACTTATTCTTGCAATGATTTGGCTAGGACAAACACATGCAGATTTAGGAACGTCCTTTTTTTAAAGCAGAATCACATTTTATAACCCATGCAATCTAAATAACAAACACATGTGTTTCCAAACAACGAAACCAAGAAACAAATAAACACACAAGTAAAAAGCCAAACTAGATTTTTCCAACTTTCAAATACACTTGTGAAAAAATGCAATCGAGATCCCATTTTCTATAGCGAATCGGAGTCTCCCTAGCAATCCAGGGCAAACTCAACTATCTAGTGTTTCCAACTATCGTTTCTGCTCTATGGCTTGGTAGACCAAAAAAAATACAAAAGAATAGAGAAAAAAATGTTATTGTTAACAAAAAATGGTGTTTTCATAAAAGCGAATATATATCTTCGAACTCTTTTTTTATCTTTTTTTTGGGTTGGTGGGTTGATAGGCAATTTCGCTGTTGCAGTACCTTTACCCTCATAACACAGGCCTGTCTCACCCCCGCAGCTATCGTGTGCGTCTGCCGTTCTGCGCGCTGCATTATCTGGTTAATAATGAGTCAGTCTTACTCACGAATGGGTCTCTTTTTTGCAACTCTGATGCCTGGGGAGACGAGGCGACGATGCTTGCGATTGTA